GGGGGGGGGGGGGGGGGGGGGATCAGGACCCCCCTGCCTCCCCCCCCCCCCAATACAATACGCTCTTTTGCACGAAAGCAAGTTTTAAGTGCGTGTTCTAGATAGACTCTTCATGTTTACCGTCATCTTATAAAATACACAGCAGCAGAGTTGAGTTTTGGTATATATAAATTTAAGAGGACCTGTTTCACTTACATCTTGAAATATGTGCTATTTAAAGTAATGAATAAGAATATACATGTACTGAATACGATCTTGTTTATATACTCTGTGCTAGCTGTTTTGTAAATACTTTCTTGGCATTTTATTAATTTGATTTGTTTCTAATTAAAAATTTAAACTCCAATCTGTAACAGCTGCACGACGATTATCGAAGATGAATACCGGTAGGCCTATACACTTAAAAATAGATGGTATTGAACGTGATAACACGACAGCCTTCAACTGATTTTGTATTATGCAAACATTAATTAATGCAACCGTTTTCGCAGAAGACGAAAGAGGAACCGAAACTGGTCTAGTTCTTGAGTTATTATGTACAGACACAGATGTGTCTGTACATATTGCCATCACCTGCGTCTGTCGTCGCCGTCGCCGATGGCGATGGCGATGCCGATGGCGATGGCGATGCCGGCGCCGTGCACTTTCCTTGTAAACACGATAAGTGGAGGGCAGTTTTACTTTTTGGCTTTATATTTACAGAGCTGATGAATATTCATAAAACGCAGGTCAAGTTCGAAAATCAGCATGATCGGGCCATTATTGTAGTAGTTATGCTGTTTTTTCACTTTTCAGCATATTTTTCACGTTTCCTTCATATTCAATTCTTAGGCATGTTAACAGTCTCATTATTAAACTAATAAGATACGTAAAAGTGTTTGTTTGACATTTCCTACATCTTTACAACATTGTTAGTTGATTTTGTNGGAAAACCGATAGGCCTGTTGTCATGAAACTCACAGGTGTAATCGATCTTACTATAACACAGGTCAAGTTCGAAAATTGGCATGATCAGGCCACTATTTTAGTAGTTATGCTGTTTTTTCATTTTTCAGCATATATATGCAACACTGTAAACACAATATACGAAAAACAGATAGGCCAATTGTCATTAAACTCACAGGAGTGGTCATTCCTGCTAAAACGCAGGTTGAGTTAAAAAATCAGCATAATCGGGGCATTATTTTAGAAGTTATGCTGTTTTTTCACATTTCCTCAGATTCAACTCTTAGGCACGTTAACAGTCTCATTATTGAACTAATAAGATACGTAAAAGTGTTTGTTTGACATTTCCTGCATCTTTACAACATTGTTAGTTGATTTTGTAAAAATGATGGTAAACTTGTTATTGTGTATTGTGTAATAAAGTGTCAAAAATGGAAATAAACTCATATCATTGCAGTTTGTCAGATTCAATCATTCATTATGTTCAGAATCTCAGAATGGAAGAAATTGGACATTTAACACTATTCTATTGATATTTTCCCCATCTCATCAATTTTCTTAGTTGATCATATAAGAATTGCAGTAAACTGTTTATTTTGTTTTATGTTAAAAAAAGTGTTAAAAATGGAAATAAACCCATGTCAGAACAGTGCTGTCTTGTTTCACATTTCCTCAGATTCAATTCTTAGGCATATTAACAGTCTCATTATTTAACTAATAAGACATGTAAAAGTGTTTGGTTGACATTTCCTGCATCTTTACAACATTGTTAGTTGATTATATAAAAATGATAGTAAACTTGTTATTGTATATTGTGTAATAAAGTTTCAAAAATGGAAATAAACTCATACCATTGCAGTTTGTCAGATTCAATTATTCACTATGTTCAGAATCTGAGAATGGAGGAAATTGGACATTTAACACTGTTGTATTGATATTTTTCCCATCTCATCAATTTTCTTAGTTGATCGAATAAAAATGGCAGTAACCTGTTAATTTTGTTTTATGTTAAAAAAATTGTTAAAAATTAAAAAAAAAAAAACATTTCAGAACAGTGCTGTCTTGTTTACATTTTGGCATTTTCAAGTTGTGACTTTGAAGTTCCTTGGGCCTGAAGACCTTTGCTAGTCATATTTTCTGAATATCCATGATACTAATATTTTATTATTAAAAATTGATGGTCATTATGCTGTTAAACATGAATGGTCATTATGTTATATTGCATCAAAATTTGAAAAAAAACTATTTTGGGCACTGCTCCCATGATGACCATTTAAGGAAAACCATGTCACTGACTGTTTTCAAACAGTACAGTAAATATGTACAGATGTGTCTGTACATATTGCCATCACCTGCGTCTGTCGTCGCCGTCGTCGCCGACGCCGGCGCCGGAGCCATGCACTTTCATTGTAAACACGATAAGTGGAAGTCAGTTTTACTTTTTGGCTGTATATTTACAGAGCTGATGAATATTTATAAAATGCAGGTCTAGTTCGAAAATCAGCATGATCAGGCCACATTATTGTAGAAGTTATGCCGTTTTTTCACTTTTCAGTATATATGCAACACTGTAAACACATTTCAAGGAAAACCGATAGGCCTGTTGTCATAAAACTCACAGGAGTTATTGATCTTACTAAAATGCAGGTCAAGTTCAAAAATTGGCATGATCGGGCCACTATTTTAGTAGTTATGCTTTTTTTTTCACTTTTCAGCATATTTAAAATTTGATGTTGAATTTGCAGTTTAACATAATGTATTTTTGCATCAGAATTGACAGTTGCCTATTTTGTGCATAGTTATTTCCTGTTTTTTGTCTGTACATTTGACAGCTTTGCTGCCTTGTTTAATGAAAGTGTCATGTCACATTACAGAATGCTAAAAACTGGGTGTCCAGTGACCAGCCATTAGATGCTGAAATGCCAAACTATGGGAGAAAAGATTGCCCCAGGGTATCTGCAGGTATGGTAAACAGTAGCCAAGAAAATGTTCCAGTCACTTAACTGTGTTAAGATACTGGAAAGACATTGTATAGGGAACAGAGAAATGAAGTAATTTGCACTATCATCCATAGATTTTTTCCTGTGCTAGTTACTTGATAGAGATCACAATTTACAGCATTTGGAACAAAATACTTGTTTGTAAATATAATGAAACATATGCCTTTTTGAATGTTTCTCTCTCTGCCAAGGATATATATGTAAAACAATCCCATTTAATAATTTTAATTCTTCTAAAGATCTTACAATCTGTGCCTTCAAAGACATAACAATCAACTCTCCTATTTCACTGCAGGCACTCAAAGACACGAGGAGACATCTTGGAACAGCATGAATTCTATTTTTAAATTCCTTGATGAAAAACTTCCATCAACTGGCACAGGAACAAATGAGAAGGCAAAGACAGAGTTATAGGAGAGCACCAGTCAGGCAGATGGACAGTGATCATTCATGAAATGTTACAACTGCGTGTTTAATTTAAATACCAGTTTAAGAGCTTTTGGTTTATATACCATGTTTCAGTGCGAAATTGTAGATTTGTATTAAAACNATGACGTAACGCTGCATCGAGGCGACTACATCTGTCTAAACTGACAAACTGTTGTCATCCTTTAGGCTGTATTTTTATGGTCTATGAGTATTGCGTTGATTTAGAAAATTTGGGCATTTCAATTTGCTCATTTTTAAATTAAATTAATAAAAGTAATCTTGTTATACTCTTACATTTAATTTTAACTCTTATCATTACAATATCAGATATAAAATATAAATAGGCCTACATAAACTCGCTTTCTTAATCTTTTTTCTCTTCGAGCGTGAAATTGCAGCCATTTTGAATCAACGCCCCACCTCGCGGACGAGATAATAACTACGTCACTTTCACCACACCAGTCAGCGCTTTGTTGCGACAGCTTGGGGTGTTCGGGGTGTTCGAAAGCACCCCCCTTTTGCTGGGCAAAGGTCCCCTCTGGGTAAAAATTTATCTAGTCACATGAAGGTTTCATGGTAAAGGGTCCACTTTTTCAGAAAAAGACCCCCCCCCCCTTTTGAAATTGCTGGCTACGGGCCTGGATAATGAGAGGTCACATGCATCTCCTTTTTAGAAATACCCAAACAGTAACTGAGGACAGAGGACCAGAAATATGCTTGATGTGTTTGGTTTTTAAATTGGTGTTACAAGATTGGGAAGACCACCATCCAGTTCATGTAACATTTGCTGGTTAGGGGCATGGGTCAGTTGCTTTTCATAAGAAGTAGACCAATTACCTGTCTATATCACATGTGGCAGTCCTTCCCATCCACTGTTCAGACAAGACAGAGAAGAGCGCCGATCCAACAACAGAGCAACTTTCCATCTAAGAATGGAGAGACAGTCAAGTTATCCCCAATTTTCAAACATATCAGATGATTAACTCATTCAGTCAAGCCAAAGAGCAGAAAAAAAACTTAGAAACAAATGGCGTAAGCAGGTGGCTCGGGACCTCCGAGAATTTAGTTTTGGCGCCATGAATGTGTGACAGGCGTAATACTTTAGTTGCGATCTCCTTGTGCTCTCATTGTGTTCTCCTTGTCTTCGTCTTGGTTCGTGTATTTTCGTAGGACATCCCATACTTGAGCTACATAAAGCTGACCAGTCACCATGGAAGTATTTGGCCACATATTCCACAACAAGGGTTTCCTTGTTGTTAGAGATCCAGATGGATGTCAGAGGGTGGATGGAAAAAAAACAGTGTTACTACCTGCCTGGTCGCTCAAGGTGGTAGAGGCCAGGGTTAGACCCTCTGAAGATGCCTATGAAGGAATCGTAGAAAGAATGGGGGCAGATTTCCCTACCCTGCAGACAAGGATATAGATAGGTCCCACTCTCATTATTGTGGACAAACGTGGCACAATACAAGTGGCCAACTTTTCCGATGCAGATGAGTGCCTGAAACCTCAAGTTGTCTTAGTCATTCCACCCTGAGACCCACCTTTGGTGTTTTACCTACAGATCTAACTTACGTACTAGGTTTGAAACGGACCTCGAGACAAATGATGAAGAGAGGAATCTGACAGAACAGACAAAACAATGTAGCCCTTGAAGAAAGTCAAAATTGTAGTGCTTTCTGTCACTGCCAAGAGGATCCTGGAATTCCTGTTGTGCATATGGGGACTATATGCAGGGGCACTCACATATAAAGTAACAGCCAACCATCTGAAACAAATGGTTGGCACCACGATGCACCACGCGATCGCTCTTGAGAAGATTTAGTTGTACCACAAAAAAAGTGCTGTCCCTACCAAACAGAAGGAACAGGCAATACTCTCAGTAAGTACCAGAAGTTTATTTTACTGCTGTTAGAATAGAGTAAAACACTTTATAATGAACAAGATGATACCATGAACACAAATGCCAATCAGCTAAGCCCAACAAAAAGTCACTCCGAGGAAGCTGACAAAATTCTAAATTCTAAAAGCAACCAACTCAAAGGGTCAAAGATGGTATAGAATAAAATGGAAAAACAAAGAGAAAAAGTCTGGTTGGGTAGTAGCAGAGTTGGTGCTGCAGATTCAAAAAGATCAGACCACCTGAAAATTGGCAATGTGGGGAATTCTTTGTTTGGTGTTGCGACAGAAAGTCGATCAAATGTGATCTGTAATGTAAACAAATTGTATTTTTTCAGCAACAAAAAATGCTTACCACCTTTACAAAATTTTCAAAGCATTTTGATTCAAACGATAGATTAGACAACATGGTTAGGGAAATTGACGCTAACCATCATTTAAATGTTTTGATAAGGTGGGGTGGGGGGCAGAGAGACAAACTGAGAATGATAAAAATTTGACTTAAATCTGATCACAAAATTCATGCTTGTGAGTACAACAACAGCTAAACTGAACAACAAAATAAGAAACACTATATTTGGGGTAAATGACTTGGCACATGGCAGATTGTTCCCAGATACAGTAATCATACCAGCAATGACGTACAGACCAGAGATATGGGCAATCACAAGACATCAGAGAGAAAGGCTGTCCATGGCTCAGGGGAGTATGCAAATATCAATACTCAATATAACAAAGAAAACAAGATCCAGAAACAAAGTTGCAAGACATTTTAGCATAGCTCAGACAGAAAATGGCCAATGGCCAGGGTATCTGGCAAGCATGAACACTAGAGAGTGGGCCAGGAAAACAACAGA